TTATGAGGCCAGCATTACCCTGATACCAAAACCAGACAAGGATGCCACACACACAAAAAAATTGCAGGCCAGTATCCCTGATTACCACAGATGCAAAAATCTTCAGAAAAGTATTAGCAAACAGAATTCAACAATACCTTAAAAGGATAACACACCATGATCAAGTAGGATTTATTGCAGGCATGCAGTGATGGTTCAATATTCACAAATTAGTCAATGATACACCACATCAACAAAACAAGGAATAAGAATCATATGATCGTTTCAATAGACGCAGAAGAAGCATGTGACAAAATTCAACACCCATTTAGAATGAAAACACTCAAAGCAGGTATAGAGGGAACATACCTCAACATAGTAAAGGCCACATATGACAAGCTCATAACTATCATCACACTCAATGGTGAAAAGCTAAAAGCTTTTCCTCTAAGACCAGGAACAAGACAAGGTTGCACACCCTCACCAATTTTATTCAACATAGTATTGGAAGTCTTAGCCAGAGCAATCAGGGAAAAAGGAAACAACAACGAAATAAAAGACATCCAAATTAGAAAGGAAGAAGTAAAACTGTCACTATTTGCAGATGACATGATATATGTAGAAAACCCTAAAGACTCCATTAAAAACTCTTAGTACTAATAAACAACTTTAGTAAAGTTGGAGGATACAAAATCAACACAAGCATCTGCTGCATTCCTTTATGCTTATAATGAACTATCAGAGTGAGAAACTATCAGAAGACAATCCCATTAACAATTGAATCAAAAAGAATAAAACACCTAGGAATAAATTTAACCAAGGAGGTGAAAGACCTGTATATTGAAAACTATGAGACATTAATGAAAGAAATTGAAGAAAACTCAAAAAATAGAAAGATATTCTGTGCTCATGGATTGTAAAAATTAATTTTGTTAAAATATCCATACTACCCAAAGCAATATACAGATTCAATGCAATCCCTATCAAAATTCCAATGGTATTTTTCACAGAAATAGTACAAACAATCCTAAAATTTGTATGAACCACAAAAGATCCCAAATGGCCAAAGCAATCTTGAGGAAAAAAGAACAAAGCTTGAGGCATCACACACCCCGATTTCAAACTATGTTACAAAGCTATAGTAATTAAAACAGTATGGTATTGGCATTAAAACAGGTGCATAGATAAACGGAACAGAGTAGAGAGCCCAGAAATAAACTCATGCATATATAGTCAATTAATTTACAACAAAGGAGCCAAGAATATGTAATGGGGACAGAACAGTCTTCAGTAACTACTGTCTGGGAAAATTGGACAGCCACATACAAAGGAATGAAACCGTACCACTATCTTACACAATACACAAAAACTAATGACCAACTTAAGTGTAATACCTAAAAACATAAAGCTCCTAGAAGAAAACATAGACAGTAAACTACTAGATATAGGTCTTGGTGATGAGTTTTTGAATCTGCACCAAAAGCAAAAGCAACAAACGCAAAAATAAACAAGTGGGACTACATCAAACTAAAGGCTCCTGCACAGCAAAATAAACAATAAACAAAATGAAAAGGCAGCCTATAGAATGAGAGAAAATAACTGCAAATCATATATTTGATAAGGGGTTAGTATCCAAAATATATGAAGAACTCATATAACTCAATATCAAAAACAAACAATCTAATTAAAAAATGGACAGAAGATCTGAATAGACATTTCTCCAAAGAAGACATACAGATGGCCAACAGGTACATGAAAAGACGTTGAACATCATTCATTCAGGGAAATACAAATCAAAACCACAATGACACAGCACCTCATACCTGTTAGAATGGCTATTATCAAAAAGACAAAAAAATAACAAGTGTTGGCAAGGATATGGAGAAAAGGGAAGACTTGTGCACCGTTAGTGGGAATGTAAATTGGCTTAGCCACTATGGAAAACAGTATGAAGTTTCCTCAAAAAAATTAAAAATAGAACTATCATATGATCCAGTTATTCCATTAGAATCTGGGTATTATGAGAAGAAAATGAAAACACTAAAGATAACTGCACCTTGATGTTCATTGCAGCATCATTTACAATAGCCAAGATATGGAAACAACCTAAGAGACCATCAATGGATGACCAGATAAAGAAATTGTGGCATAAATACACAATGGAATATTATTCAGCCATAAAAAATAATAAAATCTTGCCACTTGCAACAAAATGGATGGACTTTGAGGGCATTATGCTAAGTGAAATAAGTCAGACAGAGAAAGACAAATACTGTATTATCTCTCTTATATGTGGAGTCTAAAAGACAAAGAAAGAAACAAAAAACAACCAAGCTCTTGGATACATTAAACAGATTGGTGGTTGCAATAAGTGGAGGGTGGGCAGGGGTGGAAGAAATGGGTGAATTGTTATTTACTTATTTCTTTATTTTAGTTTATATAAATTGAATAAACTTTTTTTTAACTGGCAAATATAAACAGGAGAGTATAATTGATCTCTCATTCCAGATTCAGTTGAAAATAGCCATCCTGGGGCCATTGCTAAGGCACAGAAAGGGCACAGAAATTTAGACGTCTACCCAGTTTTCACTCCCTGAGATATGGTGGGGGTCTTGGCTAATAGAGCCGTGAATATTCAGTGAAGGACAATAGTTTATCACACACACAAAGAATTATAATTTAGCTATAGGGAGGGGCGCCTCTGATTATTCACTGAGAGCCTGCCCGGTTAGGAGGTTGTACCAGAAAGCGATTATTCACCACCCACCCCAGCACTGCTGCTAGCCCATGGCCTCCAAGTCTTTGCTGGTGGGTCTGTCCCCAAATGCAAAGATACCGTGATGCGAACTGGAGCTGCAAATCTCATAAAAGATGCAGCTTGTCTCGAAGGCCATGGGTAGCATGGAGAGCTTCTCTTCCTGTGTGGGAAGCAGCATATGAGGCTGGACAAGGCTGGTCGCTTAGAGATAAGAGGAAATGGGTTTCTCCCAGTCTTGGCTCAGTCATATGAGTGACCATGCTGGTCAAGCCACTTGGCCCAGCACACACTACAGGTAGAGAAGGAACCTGGGAACGCTGGGAGTTGAATCAAAGCAGAACAGCCCCATGAATGGTCCAGCCAACAGAGGGCAGCCCAGACTGATCGCTGAGGTCACCTCCCTGTTACCTGATGGGCTAACCACCCGGGAGCCACACGTGACAATGATGAGCGGGGCCTCTCTGACAGATGCCTGCCGGGTCTCCACATAAGCATGGTGGCTGCTTAGAAAAGGAAGAACATGGACCTTGGAGTCGCATGAAACTGGGTCTGAATCCTCTCCTGGCTGCGTGGCCTCAGGCAGGCCATTTAATCACTCTGAGCCCCAGTTGCCTGTCTAAAAACGCGGGGGCTGGTCTTTCCCCGCAGGGTTGGCAGGACCACGCCTTTCGTGTTCAGAGTCAACATCTGCTCAGGGACACCAGCAGCTGGCCTCCCCTGACTTCCACTGTGAACCAGTCCATCCTTCATTCACTTCCCAGGAAGTGAGCCTCTGAGCCAGCCAGACCCAGCTGGACCCGCAGTCTACCTCCCAAGGTCAGGAACTGCCCGGGTTGGGTCATTCCTGTGTCTGAGGACATACATCCAGGCCCCAGCTGGGGCTGGGTCCGCTGCCCAGGTGACCACCTAGAGATTGGTCTCTCTCCCCGGCAGCTTCCCTTCATTTCTCTCAATGCCTTTTCCTCCACTGCTTCCTGAATGGGTCATCAGGTAGGATCTTCAACCTTTTTGTACCCTAATCAGATTAATTCCTCCAAATCTGGAAAGTATTCACAATTTTGGGTCACTAATTCCAGCAACTAATAGATACTAAGAACACAGACATCTCTAACTTTATGTCTATACCTGTATCTGCATCTGTATCTATATGCGTTTTTTTTGAGTTGATAAATTTTTGTTACCTTGTGGGATTTTTTTTTTGCCATTGAAGTATAGTTAATTGACAGTGTGTCATGTTAGTTTCAGGTGCATCTATATGTTTTTAAGTGACAACCCTCCAGAGGAAAAATTCTATAAAGGAAAGGACATTATTCCGTCAACTGACAAAACTGGAATATGAATGGTAAACCAGACAAAAGTATTGCATCAGTGTTCAATTTACTGGAGTTGGTAACTAAATCATGGCTATAGAAACCCTCTTCTTAGAAAATACTCCCTAAAGTATTTAGGGATAAATGAGGTAAGTAACTTTCCCTCAAATGGTTCAGAAAGAACCTATGCACATAAGTTTATATACATTATTACAGATAATCATACAGTCATTTATACACACAGGCAATGTTACACACACACACACACACACACGGGAGACAGAGGGGGAGAGAAAGCAAACAAATGATAAAACGGGGTAAAATGTTAATAATATGAGAATCTGGCAAAAGGGCATTAAGTGTTCTTCAGGCTCTTTTCATTTCTGCAACTTTTCTATACATTTGAAATGATTTCAAAATAAAGGTTAAAATTAAAAAAAAAGACAGCCCCCAAACCTCAACTTAGGCTTTGAAAACCTACGTTATTTGTTTGGGGATTTTCCATTTTAAGTCCTACCTTTCCAGGTTCGTGTGGAGGCAGGGACAGCTAAGGCAGAGACACCACAGTATGTGAACACGTCTCTAACTGATTCTCCTTCAACCTGGAAACACGTGAGGTCACACGGAATTCCATGCCAATGGCGGGGAGATAGACGTGTGTGCACATATACCCCCAGTGCATATATGCATCTGTCTCTCCGTTTCTCTGTGGACTGATTTAAACTTTGGGATGCAGCCCCAATGCCCACAAGGGTCAAGCTAGTATGTGAGTGAGTGAAACAGGCCAGGTATAAGAAGAGTCAACTACTAGAAATACAATAAAACTTTCTTGATTTTTACTGGGCTATGGGGAAACATAAAATGTCATACAAACAAGTATGATAACTGCAGATGACATTTCTGAGTCAAAGTGGGAAAAAAACAGAAAACCAGATATATTTAATAACTCATTTTCTCATCTTGCAACCCCTCGGGCCTAGAGGATTCTAGGCTTCCAGCCCACGGGATCGTGCGGGAGTGTGTTTCATCACGTCGCAATGTGGAGTACAGAATCCCACTGGGAGTCCTTCAACTGGGAGCAGTACTCAGTTTTACTCAGTTTCATAATGGAAAAGAGCTGTTCACAAATGTAGGTACTCCCGAACATGGAGAGAATCTTGGCACAGTGGGTTTTGTACTTGGGATAGCTGCTCCAGAGGTATTTATAGAATTCTGGTATTCCAACCTTGTCGTATTTGGTTTTCAGGACCGTGTTGCACTGCAGATCAATCACCTCCATCTGGAGCGCTTCCTGGACGCTCTCGATCTTCATGGAGAAAGGGGAGCTGAACAGGGTCAGTTCACTTTCGTAGAGTTTGAAATCGGACAGCCTTTTCTGGAATTCTGTCTTTAGCTCCACGATTTTGGGAATGTAGTTCAGCCCATCGCTTTCGTTTCTGGAAACCGATTTCAGGGTGGGAAAGTGGGCCAGGTTATTCCTGGCCAAATGAGTCTCCCAGAGGCACAGTTTAGCCAAGAACGCCCGAATCAAGTCGTACATCTGTGTGACGATTTGGGAATGCCCTTGGAGAGAGATATTCAACGTGTTCAGATGCATAGTCATGTCCACCAAGAAGGCCAAGTCTTTGATCCAATCTTGAGAGCTCAGTTGAGGCAGGGGCTTGCCTCTGGAAGACATGAAGGAGTCAATTTCTTCCAACGATTCAAAGAACCTCTTCAGCACCAGCCCGCGGCTGAGCCACTTAATCTCCGTGTAGTACAGAAGGCTGCCGTACTGGCTGTCCAGCTCATAGAGCAAAGTCGTGAACTCGCTGTGGTTCAGTCCGCGGGAGCAGATCCAGTTCACGGCATTAACTACCACGCTCATGATGTGGTCCATCTTTAACTTTTGAGCACAGAGCGATTCCGGGTGAATAATGCAACAAACGGACTTCAGATCTGAGCCCTTGCAAGCCATCGCCACCTTGGACTTGAGTTTTGTGACCAGCCCGTCGTTGGCATCTACCATTGCAGGAGTGCCAGTTGAGGCCACACTTACTAATTTCGACCAGTCGATATTAAACTTTTTAAGACTTTTCTCAACACGCAAAAAGATCTCATTTCCAGATTTTGTCCCCGTCATGGGCACCGTATCCAAAAGTTCTTCCGATACATCGAAATTCTCATCAACGCCCCGGATGAATATGGCCAACTGGGTGGTGTTATTTATATCTGTGATCTCGTCGATGGCAATAGAATAGGCCACAAATGATCTGATTTTTTCACGTAATTTCTCCCATAAGTTCCCAGCCACGTCTTCTATGGGCTGGACGGCAGGGTTTTCCTTTGGACTCACATTTGCAAACACTTGTTTTTGCTCGGGACACACGATGTCTGATGACCCTAAGAGATACTTTCTGAGCCCTTTCTTCAGCTCCTGGAGCTTCTCGTCGCGCATCTTCTCTGTGTACTGGTCATAGTGCTTGCTGTGGTTGGTTTGATAATGGCGTCTCAGGTTGTATTCTTTGGACACAGACATGCTCTGTTTGCATATTAGACACGTAGGGATATTCTGCACCTCCACGAAGAAATAAGCTCTCTCCCACTTTTCTTGAAATACACGGCCCTCTTGGTCTATCTTTCTTTTTCCCACTTTTGATAGAATCATGGAGACAAGAAACTGTTCAGTTTTCTCTTAAATCGACTGTTAGTCTAACACCAGCAAGAGCATGATGACAAATGCAAGGGATAAGGTGGCGGGGTGCGACGTGGTTAACTGGAGAGCACCCCAGCCCTGCAGAGGTGTGGGGTGAGGACGGAGGACACTCAGGGCAAGCGAACTACTGCCAGGGGGAGCATGGCCCTGGCCTGCCCAGATTTTCAGATTGCTAAAGAAAACCTGGAAATGGACTTCTATGAAAAAGTCCCTGGTTTTTCAGTGTTGGCCACTAATTCTCTTTTTTAAAAGGTAGATGAGCCAAGGGGCTTCCCTGGTGGCTCACTGGTTAAGAATCCGCCTGCCAATGCAGGGGACACGGGTTCGAGTCTTGGTCCAGGAAGATCCCACATGCTGTGGAGCAACTAAGCCCGTGCGCCACTACTGAGCCTGCACTCTAAAGGCCATGAGCCACAACTACTGAAGCCTGCGCGCCTAGAGCCCGTGCTCCGCAACAAGAGAAGCCACCACACCCCAACAAAGAGTAGTCCCCGCTTGCTGCAACTAGAGAAAGCCCGTGCACAGTAACACAGACCCGATGCAGCCAAAAATAAGTAAGTAAGTAAGTAAGTAAGTAAGTAAGTAAATAAATAAATAAAATTAAAAGGTAGATGAGCCAAAAGAAAGACAGCTTTGGTGAGGTTCAGCAAGTGGCTATGCTTGCCCATCTGGTTTAAATGAGAATGATTTGAAAGTGTATCTGCATTTTAACATATATTTTTTCATTTGATTTTCAAGAGAACTTTGAAATAACGGAGAAGGGAATGAGCACAGAAGATGTATGATTTAACTGCTGTGAGTCCCAAAAGACATCAGTGATAGCCACAGACGCTCACAGAACTTACTTGTTTTCAATGTAAAGAAATAGGCCACGATGCAGGTGAGCTTTACTTTGAGAGAACATAGGTATAAAAATTCACTTTAAGAAAATGTAGGCAGAGACAAGCAGTCAATTTAGTGGCTGCCTGGGGCTGGGGGTGGGAATGGGAAATGACCAGAAATGGGTAGGAGTAATCTTTCAGGTGGGGGGATGGAAATGTTCGAATATTAGATTGTGGTGATAGTTGCACAACTCCGTAAACATACTAAAACTCACTGGATTGTGTACAGTTTGCACAAGTGAATTTTACGGTATGTAAATTTATGCCACAATAAAGCTATTAAAAACGTAAAAAGCTATTTAACAACCAGAGGAGTTTAGGAATAATAATTGTGGATTTTAAAAGAACACTTTAGTTTCCAAATTTAAATGAGGAGGTTCCCTAGATGACTCTTGGGAACATCGTTACATGTTATGCTTTTTTTTCTTTCTATAGATACTTTACTCTTTTAGAATTTCATTGAAATATACTTATTTACAATGTTGTGTTAGTTTCAGGTGTACAGCAAAGTGATTCAGTTATATATACATATGCATATATATAAAAATAAATAAATAAATAAATATATATATATATATATATTCTTTTTTAGATTCTTTTCCATTATAGGTTATTACAAGATGAGTATATTTCCCTGTGCTATACGGGAGGTCCTTGTTGGTTACACCTTCTGCTTTAATATCCAATAGGATTTTGACTTGCTCGCAAGGACTTTAGGGGAGACATTAAAAATATTTAACAAGCAGAGTGGCTGGGACATTGCCCAATCAGAACAGAAGTCAACTGGAGGGGGCTCTGGGAGCCCTGCTGTGCCAGGCCCTATTGGTTCTGAACTGTGGGGAGGTCAGGGGTGGCCAGGCAGGTACTATTTACCAAATAAGGTAGAGTAGTAGTTCAGTATTATGATATGAGCTGCCCCCCGCCGACCCCATAAAGGACTCTTGAATAAGAATGTGGTATGTTGTCACACACAGCAACTCCATCAAATTGTTATATGAGAAAAAAATGCCTGGCTAATAAAACTCGAGCAACAGAATTAAAGGGCTTTAAAAGAAGCAGGAAAAACGAAATGCACATAAAGAGCTGCATGCTTTGCTCTTTCTGGTGGTGAGTGTCCACTGAGACAGCGCACGTGGCACAGCAGGGGCTAGGACCATCTTCTCTCCCCCAGGATACTCACCATTGCTGAGTTCAAGGCCGGGAAGTGGCCTGAAGAGAAAGAGACATTGGTGAGGTCACTCTTCCTCTCTTGTCCATTTAGTTCTATTTGACAAACTTTTGTGAGTGTCACTGCGAGGCTAAGCTAAAACAGGCTGCCCACGATCACCAAGAAACAGGAGCGAGGACACACAGCTCCCAGAAGCAGAATACGATGAACTGAGTGTGACAGGCAGCATGACATAGCACTTGACTGCAGGGACCCACGGCCCACGTCCTGGGGTGAGAATCCCTGTGCCCCCCAGCTTCTCCACCTCGAGCAAGTTACGATCAGCAGCTCATTCTCCTGACCAGGCAGGGGACTCTCACGTACCTGATGACTGTGAATTTGATAAATTCTGCGGCATCCAAGATCCTTCTCATGGAGCTGATTTCCAGGTAGCCAGGGGCTTTGAATACCACCCCCGGGGGCATGCCATCGATGACCACACAGCCAGGGTTGAAGGTGATCTTCCTGTAGGGAACTTTCACAGGGAAATCCACTCCAATTGCTTCACCTGTGATGATACAAAGAGTGTAAAACCAGTTGTGTGTCACTTGCTTCTCCCAAACCGTGCTTTATCTTTAATGTCAAGATTTTAAAATTAATCGCATCAAGTAATAACATTGGTGATCAGCCATTACTTTATTTTCCAGCCATGCTAGGGTGTATGAATAATTTTATTGATTTTGAAATTGGTAACAGGTAGTGTAGCAGACTGTATCTCTACCCATGAAATAGGCATTATCATAGTATCTACCTGAAAAGGGTTTTGTGAGGATTAAATGATTAATCACAAGTCAAACACTAAAAACAATACTCAGCTACAGTAAAAAGTCAGTAAGTGAAAGATAGCTATAAGTATTTAAAAAACATTTTAAATTTATTTTTAATTGAGATATAATTGACGTATAACATTGTATTAGTTTTGGGTGTACAACATAATGATTTGATAAAGATAGTTATTTAAAAAAATTTTTTTATTGAAGTGTAGTTGATTTACAATGTCGTGTTAATTTCTGCTGCACAGCAAAGTGATTCAGTTATACATATATATACATTCTTTTTTAATTTATTTTATTTTTTATTTTTATTTTTTTTGCGGTACGCGGGCCTCTCACTGCTGTGGCCTCTCCTGTTGCGGAGCACAGGCTCCGGACGCGCAGGCTCAGCGGCCATGGCTCACGGGCCCAGCCGCTCTGCGGCATGTGGGATCCTCCTGGACCAGGGCACGAACCCGTGTCCCCTGCATCGGCAGGCAGACTCTCAACCACTGCGCCACCAGGGAAGCCCTACATTCTTTTTTTAATATGCTTTTCCATTATGGTTTATCATAGGATATTGAATATAATTCTCTATGCTATACAGTAGGACGTTGTTTATCCATTCTGTATATAAAAGCTTACATCTGCTAACCCCAAACTCCCACTCCATCACTCCCCCAACCCCCTCCCCCTTGGCAACCAGCAGTCCGTTCTCTATGTCCGTAATTCTCTTTCTGTTTCATAGATAGGTTCATTTGTGTCATATTTTAGATTCCACGTAAGTGATATCATGTAGTATTTGTCTTTCTCTTTCTGACTTACTTCACTTAGTATGATAATCTTCACTTAGTATGATAATCTCTAGCATCCATATTGCTGCAAATGGCATTATTTCATTCTTTTTTAATGGCTGAGTAGTATTCCATTATATATATATACCACATCTTCTTTATCCATCATCTGTTGATGGACATTTAGGTTGTTTCCATGTCTTGGCTATTGTGAATAGTGGTGCTATGAACATAGGGGTGCATGTATCTTTTTGAATTATAGTTTTGTCTGGATATTTGCCCAGGAGTGGGATTGCACGATCATATGGTAGTTCTATTTTTAGTTTTCTAAGGAACCCCCATACTGTCCTCCATAGTTGGCTGCACCAACTTACATTCCCACCAACAATGTAGGAAGGTTCCCTTTTCTCCACACCCTCTCCAGCATTTATTATTTGTAGACTTTTTAATGATGGCCATTCTGACTGGTGTGAGGTGGTACCTCACTGTGGTTTTGATTTGCATTTCTCTAATAATTAGCAATGTTGAGCATCTTTTCATGTGCCTATTGGCCAAAAGATAGCTATTATTATTATGAAATTAGTGTTTCCATGAAAATACACACTAATTTTGATCACATCTCCTTCACAGAAAGATCAATTTCTTAGATAAAGTAATCAGTTAGAAGGAAATATTTCAAATGTATAAAATTTGGTTATGTAACAATATAAAAACGTACCAAATTTTCGGCTAAAGAGGTCATTGACTTGTTCTCTTAGTTGTTTTATTTTTTCAATGCTCGACAATCTTTCCTTCTCATTATCTAAAAAAATTTTAAAAACAAGGAAACCAGGTTTATTCATGTATTTGCTCCCCTGAAAAGCTGTTGGAGGAAACACCTGTTAGCACATGTGAAAGCACTTTACCTGGCTTATCATTCAGTTTAGTTTTAGCAATAATTAAGCATTTTGGAAATTTGTAAATTTAAGGCATTATAGATGACAGAGAATTTTCCAAATTATGACTATGTAAATATAAGACATACTACTTTAGAGAACATTTTCAATATCATGCAAGATAAGGATGTCCACTTTCACCCCTACTCTTCAACATTATAATAGAGATCCTAGCCAGTGCAATATAGCAAGTAAAATGAATAAGATGTATGTACTAGGATTAGGGGGGAAAGTTTTTTAATACTTGAAATTTTTATTCTATTTAATTTTGAATAACGAAAAGTGATTATGTGGTTCAAAATTCAAACGATATAAAACAGTACATCATGAAATGTCTCCCTTCCATCCCTATCTTGGCTCTCAAGTTTCCTTCTTTGGAGGAATCTCTGCTATTGGATTCTTTTGTATCTCTCCAGATATGTTTTATATACACCTATTCAGAAAAGAAGATTAATTGATGGGCAGCACATACATTTCACCTCTGTGGCCAGTTCCAATCCAATGGTAGCCAGTGCTTGCAGTTGGCTGCCCTAAGGGGTATTTTCCAGGTAATGCACCAGGGCAGGGCTGTGAGAAGCAATATATCTGATAAACAATGTACAATATAGCAAGATATTCAGTGTGCGGCAATTGGAAGCATATTTTATATTCCTGAATTGTCTTTCCTTAGTTGACAGGGTGAACTAGCAAAAAAAAAAATAGCTACAAGAGACTAACCCATGTCACAAAGTGGTTAAAATATAACAAAATGAAAAACATAATCTAAATTATGATAAAGTCAGAGAGAATTCCATACCTGGAATCGTCACCTGAACGATGTTAAGATCTTCAACACCTGCTGCAGAATTTGTAATGTTGGATGAACTGGTGTTTCCTTAAACAGAAATTGAAATTTAGAACTTATAGAAAATTAGGCTACTCCTCTAAAACTATCAAATTGCCACTTTCATCAGAAGGCCAGACTAGGGAATTCCCTGGCGGTCCAGTGACTAGGACTTGGCGCTTTCACTGCCAGGGCCTGGGTTCAATCCCTGGTTGGGGAATTAAGATTGTGCAAGCCAGGAGGCGTGGCCAAAAAAAAAAGAAGACCAGGCTAAATTTTTAAAACTCCAGAGAACATTTAGCTGGCTTGGCAATAATTGATTTTTGAGTCTCTGTAGTTTAATGTCGATGTCAAAGGAGAAAGGGCACCATGGCTTTTATTTAGTTCATAGCCCCTGATAATTCAGTCTAATTTGATTTAAAAAGAAGGGTGTTTAAAAATATATTTCCTGGGACTTCCCTGGCAGTCCAATGGTTAAGACTTTAAGCTCCCACTGCAGGGGGCATGGGTTGGATCCCTAGTCGGGGAACTGAGATCCCGCATGCCACTCAGCCAAAAAAAAAAAACCAAAAAAAAAAAAAAAAAAAAAGAAAAGAAAAAAATTTTTCCTTTGTTGCTATTCTCGGCTTAAAGGTGGGGGGTAGGAAAGGAGACATACGAATGTGTCCAAGAGGACACTTAGGAAGCAGATGTCCTATGAGAAATGAGGTAACAGACAGTCAAGGAAAGGCTCAGATGGGGTTAAATAGTAAAAGCACAGTTGACGTTATCATGATTTCTGGTCAAATGATACACACGATGCTCACTTAAATGGGAAATGTAAATGAGCCTGTCTAGTCCTTTCTGAGGGACTCAAAGTGCAATCCCTGTGTTCTGTGAAAGATCAACCATTTGGGTGTTTGAGATTCTGCATCTGAAGAGCAAGACCTCAAAGGGACACAAGGAGACACACCATCGTTCTTCCCCTCTCCCCGCTTCATTCTCCCTGCCTTCATTCTTCCCTCCCTGCCCCCTTCATTTCCCCCTCCCCCTTCATCCTCCCCCACTCCCCTCTCCCTTTCAGTTTCCCCCTCCCCACTTCATTCCCCTCCTTCTGGCTCCATTCTTTCCTCATTGGACCAAGCACAGTTTGACCCTACTCTGGCCAGGGCTAATTTGCACAGCCTAATTCTGTTGTCTGACAAGCCTAGAGCACTGGGTACCTGATGGGAATGTGGGCTGCTCTGGCCATAGGTACACACACATCGAGTTCAATCTTTTCCCTTTCGGAAAAAATGAAAACCTTACTTAGCCGTGTGAATGTGGCGAGGTTTTTGGCAACCAACCTTCAATTTTCACCTCAGCTTCAGGGTCATCACTCATTTCTGAAGGGACAAGCTGAGTAGAATCTTGAAAAAAAAAAATTTCTAAAATGACATTCATTGTTTATGTATTCTCATGTTCCAACATTTTACTGCTCCTATACCCAAAAAGTCATTTATCCTGGCATTTTAAATACATTTTATATTTACTAAACATAGAGGTATAAACATAAAAGGTAATTTTAATTTTAAAAAGGATAATAAAGGAAAATCTTATAAGGGATAAGAGGAGATAAGAAACTTTCAGATATTATCAAATAATATAAGTTACTCGCAGTAATGGACACAGAATATCCTTCTATTTGAGCTAATGGAATACTTGTGGTCACAGTGTTTTCTGGTTGTCATCGGGAATTACTAGGATTCCAAAAAAGCCATTTGCTCCTTTCTTATCCTGCCAGCAGCCCCCAGGTGATTCATGGTCTATTATTACATGGACGCATGTAATGTACACAACATATACATGCTCAGTGAAATAAGCCAGTCACAAAAAAGCAAATATCATATGATTTCACTTATATGACGTACCTAAAGTACCTAATTGAGTTTTCTGGTGGATAAGAATTATGACATATACATTAAGTTCTACATATAGACAAAAGCCTGCCTAGCTTACCTCGCCTAACTCTAGCTCATTTTGTCAAATCTTACATTAATTGTTAGCAAAAGAAGACTAGGATGCAAAACTGTTTTGATATTGTACTATCATTACGTAGGATGTAACCTTTGGGGAAAAACAGGGGAAGGTACGCTGGACTGCTCTGTACTATTCTTGCAGCTTCTTGTGAATCTATAATTATTGTAAAATAAAAAGGTTTTAGGGAGTTCCCTGGTGGCCTCGTGGTTACAATTCTGGGCTCTCACTGCCGTGGCCTAGGGTTCAATCTCCGGTTGGGGAACTGAGATCCCACGGGCTGTGCAGTGTGACCCCATCCTGCCCCCAGATAAATAAATAAATAATAAAAAAATAAAAGGACTGACATAGGGGCTTCCCTGGTGGTGCAGTGGCTGAGAG